GGCCAGGACCGGCACCGGACGCGAGGGTCCGTTGACGCCGAGAGCTTGGTCCGGCGCTCACAGAAAATCAGCAGGCCATTCTCCAGGCGGATGTCGTCGAGGAGAACCAAATGGCCGCTTTGCGCCCGATTGAAGAAAAGAAAATCGAGCGTCGCCGAGCAAGCCGCGCGAAGGAGCCGCAGGTCTTGAGTCTCCAGGCCAAAGTCCAGGACGGCGCGGAGCAGCTCCGTAGGAACGGGCCGATGCGAATGAGCCGGCTCCGGTTCCTGCCGCCTCCACGCCCGAGTAAGTCTCCGGGTGACGGGGTCGAAGGGGAGAAGTCCAGGTGACCCATGGCTTGGTGGACCATGGAGATGGCCGCCAAATACTGGGGAAGACTGCGGATCCCCACCCGCCCTTCCTCCCGCAGAAAGCGGATGTAGCGGTAGATTGAGGAAGGCCGCGCGGGTAGGCTGGCCAAGTCGTTTGCCTCGCAAAACTCAGCAAAGCGGGCAAACTTGTGATGCATCGATCGCCGCGTCGACTCGGTATAAAAGGAAAGAAACTGCACCTGCATCCACGACCGATCGGACGCCGACAGGCCGTCCACATCACACCCAAACAACGGGTGATCGTCCGGCATTACCTCCACCGGGAGGGGGTCGGCGACCGGCGATCCTGAGCGGGAAGAGGGCGGTCCGGCCCCGCAGTCGGAACCCGAGTCCGCGGCAGAATGTGGAAGGCTCGGAGGTTCCACTGGGGGGGAGGCAGGCTGGCCGGGATCGAGGGATCGCCCGGCGTGAACATGCCCGGGCGGCGAGGAATCAGCATCTCCGCCGACGCCAAGCGCCGAAGTCGAGGGAACCACATGGCCGACGGCCAGTCCGGAGCCAGGACTACCGTCTCCACCTCCGGGTGGTGGCGCAGGAAGGCCGTAAGGCGCGGAAGGACCGACCACGGCGGATTGGCCCAATTGGCCTCCCCCGTCCAGTCTTGGAGGAAGGCATCCACCCCCGAAGAATGGGGCTCGTTGTGGCGCGAATTGAAGGCGGGGCAAAGGGAATTCCGATGGGAAGCGAACCGATCGAAGGTCCGGGCCCCAAACCGCCGAGTAATGGCCCTGAAGATGGCCGGATGGAGGCGGTAATCCTCGCCCCCCCGAACCCGTGACAGTTGATCCGGGATGGTATTCTCCTTGGACGGGATATACTCCGGGTCGAGGAGCAATTGGCGAGCCGAACAAATCCCCTGCAGTTGGCGGAGCGGACCTCGGAGCTGGTCGGATCCCGTCGCCATGCTGCGGATACAGAACAGGACCACCTGCGAATCCACGAGCAGGCGGAGCCGTGCCAAAATCGAGGGGGAAGCGGGTGGAAAAAAGGCCCGAATGGCCAGCGCCACCGCCTGCAATTCACGCACATTGATGTGCGTCAACGAGCGATCAAAGAAACCCCGCGCCAACCGGGGTTGATCGGCGTGAGGGGGGGTGAAAGTCGCGCCCCAACCCATCAAGGAAGCGTCCGTAGCCAAGGTACCCGCGTAGGGCACGGCGTCGGGATTGAGGGGGCGACCGTCACAACGATCCAAATGGATCCACGCCTCCAGATCGAGGCATGCTTGGGGGGTCAAACGCAGCCGATCCCTCCAAGACTGCTTGGTCCGCAGCACCCCGTAGAGACTCTGAAGGAAAAAACGAGCAAGTGGGAAGGCCAAATAAACCGAAATGGCCAGCCCACAGAAACGGGCCAGATCGCGAGCCACCACCCAGCGCCGGGCCCGAAGGACCCGAGCTTTGGCGGCAATGGTGGCCACCTTGTCGCTTGGCACGAAAAACCGACAAGCGGTGGTGTCGATCACCACCCCGAGATGCCGCTTGACCTGGACGGGGTCCCATTGACACTTTCGATCCTTGAAGCGAATCCCCAAAGCCCCGAAGATCTCCCTAACTAAATGGGACCATTCCCGTAATTTGTGGGGATCGCTCATGGCTGCCAAAAAGTCGTCCAAATAGGCCAAAAGAATGGCGGGGTCATCGACCGTATACCGCACAAAATAGCGGTAGATCGAATCATTCCCCGCGAGCTGGCCAAAACGGAACTTGCGAGCCGCTTTGGCACATGAACCCGGGGAGCGAAGAAAACGAGTCACTACCAACATAAAGTGAGTGAAAAAGTAGGGCGCCAAGGAGAGCCCAAAGGGGAGGGCGCGGCAAGCAAAGACCTCCCCGCCCATTCGAAATTGTAAAAAGCATTCATCCTCCAAACGCATTCTTAAGTGGTGGTAAGCATCCTTGATGTCAAACCCCACCAAAAAATCCTTCCTCCGCAACAAATGACCAAAATCGCGGAGTTTTTCATACCGCAAGCCCATCTTGCGGAGATGCCGATTAACTCGGCGAAGATCGACACATAAACGATACTTCATAACCCCGTTCTCCCGTCCCTTTTCGACCAGGAAAGCGCGCGAAATGCGCGAATCGGGACCGGGGGCTACCTTGACAATTGCTCCCGTCTCCAAATACTCCTCGCGGAGGGCCGTCCAGCCCGCCCGCTCCTCCGCCGAACGGATCGGGTATTCCCCTTGGTCGAAGGGCGGGGGAGGACCCTGCGGTCCCCACGGCAGCGGGACGCCCGAATGGATCCATCTGAGCACGTGCGAGGGCGCTCCAATCCTCCGCCATGCCGAGAGGCGTCCGCGGGTGCGATTATAGGGGAAGTCGGTCACGCGTCCGGAGGTGGACGCGCCGTTGAAGGAGGATTGCGGCGTTTGCCCCGCTTCCCCGACGGGCCGTTCGAATGGGCCGGAGGATCGCCGCTCCCCGCCTTGGATGCCCGACTGGCCGCGGCCGCCTTGGTCACAAGCTTGACCTCCTGGGTGAGGAGCTCCTTGCGGATGGCGCCCAGCGTCCCGTCGATGGTCTCGGTGGTGAAGCCGCCTTCGGGTTCGCTGAGGCGGATCTGGGCCTGCAGCGCGCGCCAGGATCCCTCGAGCCCGGTGCCGCGGTGCTTCGCGTGCACTTGATGGAGGCGCAGTTGGTCGATCTGCCGTTCGGTAATGGCCACCGAGGCGTAGACGTACGGCAGGAGAAGATCGCGGATCGAAGGCGGTAGACTCGGATGGGCGACCAGGTCCACGAAGGCCGCCGTGTAGTCGAACTGCCACGCGACCCACGGCGCCCAGCTCGCGTACTCCTGGAAGTAGCCGGAGTTGGGTCCCAAGGCCGCGGCGACGGTCTGGCCCTGGCCGGTCTCCCGTACGTCGAACCACGCCGGAAAAGACGTGAAGTCCGGCCTGGCGACCCGGTTGTTGACTGAGCGGGGGAGTAAGCGGGGTCGGAAACCCACGTGACCTCAATAGGACGGTCAGGGAGGCGCTGGTTGAAACGAAGCGCCTGAGCCCGCAGCCACTGTTCGGCCGGGCTGGGGTTCATACAGAAAGGACTCGGCGCGAAGGCCGGAAGGTCGAACCACTCTGTGGTTCCGGGTTGTGCCAAAGGTTGGCGCGAAGCGAAACAAGATAAAGGGGGGCGCCAAGGGTCGCGCCTAAAATAGCCGCTCCCACTTGCCGCCAAACTCCCCGCCAAACCCAAGGGCCAGCTTGACCGGTCCCCTTGGCTGCGCCCAAGGTACAAGGATCAACCCCACCGCCCTTGGGTGCGTCGGGCAGCACTGACCCCGAGTACAGGGGTGACAGAAACCCGGCTGATGGATGGCCAAACTGTCCAAAAGGGCGGAACGGCCCGCCCTGGCCGTTGCGCGCCCACCCAATCGTCATCCTTAGCAGAAACCCATTAACAGGATAGTTAATTCCATGAATGGCTTTCACCTTTTCTCGATGTTTCACATGCAACTTTCCAGTTATCATAACTGGAGGTCGGTGGCTGAACACTGATGTGCAGTGATGGGAAGTGAATACATGTTAAGACCAGTTTAAAGAGATGAAAGCCTGACACACCAAGACAGCCGCAACTGCCATGGTGTGCAACCACCTGTTCATGTGCTGGCTTTGACTGGTGCACACACTGACCTGATTGAGATGGTGGGAGGACGGCTGGCCAACAATCAGCTTCAATCTTACTAATTTTGGTGATCATGAGTTGGTACTGTGGGTTGGAGCTGTGGGCTGGTGCCATGGGTCGATGCTAGGGGACGGTGCTGTGGGGTAGCGTGTTGTGCGTGTGTGAAGTGTGAGTTCAATCCGGCGCTCTGAGTGTGAGTGCTGGTGGGCAAAAAAAGAGATGCATTCTGGTATTTAAAGAGAGCCCGAGACTGTTCGTGGCTTCTATTGGTTTGGTTGTAAGACAAGTTGAGTCTTGGCTGCTTGTCCGACCATGCACGGCGAGTGCGTTCAAGCACCGCGTGCACCAAGGTTGCCACAGAGGTCGAACCAAGTCGGTTTGACTTGTGCTGCGTTGTGGCCCATCGCTACGCGCATTCAATTGCGGCGAGCAGGATCTCGAACCGGGATGGCTAAGGAACTTTGACACCCAGCCGTTCTGCCACCATGACGGCCGATGAATGGACAGCTTAAGAGCCACTCCAAGCACACGAGGCATCTACCTCGACACAAGATTCAACACACATTACAATAGCCAATAGGAAATGCCCCAAATCTCTTTTACCCCGTTTGATTTCCCCCAGAACTCAACACGGCTATGTCGACCCCATACTACACAATTTTGTTCAGCGCCCAGTCCGTCCATACCGCCCAAACAAGCAGCAGAAACGGACATGCCGTTGTCTGCATCCATGGCAGGAGAGTTGCAGCTCCTGCCCCGAATGCAGACCCTATATGTCGCTCAAGGGCTCCCCCCTTGCAATCCCACAAAACTCACGAAAACTCCCTGGCCGGTAACTGGAACAAAAACTCGTTGGCCAACAAATGCAGTCAAGAGAAGATGTACACACTCCTGGAGTGTCCATCTTCCCACAAGTTGCCACAAATGGGGCAGGAATGGGACACTCCCAAGAATGATCTCGAGCTTGGTGAATAAAAAAGAGATCGGTAGCCTCAGAACCCGTTCAAGTTTCGGATTGGGGCACACTCGAGCACGGCACCTTTGGAGATTTAATGAGACCCATCAATGCGATGTCTCCATGGTGCGGGTGTGGCACAAAAATGAAGTCAAACTCAGGCAGGTGCACAACGGCGGCCAATTTCATTTCACTGAGTTTCTTCAACGCATGGCGGCCCCTGTCTGACGTCCCTTCATCCAGATGCAGGTCGATGTGTTCCTGAGCAAAACGCAGCTCCGACAGTTAGTGAATATCGACAAAAGAGCAAATCCAACAGGCGCGTGGGCCACCATACAAGGCTGAGCACAACATTGTGGCCCTTCAACACGTCAAACGGTTCCTACCAATTGCTTATCAACGTGGACGAGTGCAGTACATCAAGTGCAAGGTTACCAGGGTGGTGACAGGGGGTGTCAAGGCCAATGGGCAAACAAGCTCTTCCCACAGGCCCAAACAGTGAGAAAAACGCGTTTCAGACAATCTCATAACCATCGGCACATTTGTCAAGCTGCAAGTACGAGAATCAGGCTGGCAAACGCCAAAATTTCAGCGACCGACACACTGTACTAGATTAGCATGCCACTGCCCCCACATTCTCAGGCCACACTGCCACTTCACCTCAGAAGGCCAGCAGTCCAGCTGCCTTGGGTTCTCGAACTCAGCCACTGTCATTGTCCCAGGAAGCTTCTTCTGCAGCTTGGGATGCACCCACCCCACCACAGTGAACAGCTCCTCGATAGGACGCTGTGGGGTGGGCTTGCTCTTCAAGACACAAGTCCATTTCACTGGTTTTTGCTGTCCATCGCTAGAGGTCCTCCCTGAGGACGTTTGTGTCTGACCCGACTGCCTGGAAGCAGATGGCTCTTGAGACTTTGCATAGGCCTTGGCACCACCTGCCATCGGCGGCAACAGTACAGGGATCTTGCCTCCCCCCAGGACCTGCAGAAGCTGCAGGTTCTTCATCGATGTACCCGAAGTCACCTGAGACAGTTCTGTGGGGTTCTCAGGAAGGGGCACCATAGTTGGTCGATCGCCATCCATCATCAGTGCCATCTTCCCTGCACCACTGCCCTCTGCCATCATTGACAGATCCTCCAGCTGGCCCCCAGCTGCCAGTGCCTTCAATGTGTTCAGTGGCACCCCACGCAAGGGTCCCTCACTGTGAGTGCTAGATGTCGGACCCGACTGACGGCTGGTCGTCATGCCCACGCCCCTGCTGTGTTGCCTGACTACCTCGGCTCCTGTGTGTGGCTCCTCTGGTCCACGCAGGTTGGACCTCAACGACGAAGTTGTCGAGTGCTGCTTTTGAAGGCCCAGATGTTCTGTCGTCTTGCAAGCGCTGTTGGACCTGCGTATACTGCCGGAGTTCCTCATGCCAACAGAAAGCTCCGCATGATCCCCTGACCCCGTCCTAGATGCCACAGTCGGTGCCATCTTCCCAGTTTGTTCGCCCTCATCCATTCCTTTCTTGGATATTAGCATTTCCAGTGTAGCGGGGTCGATGACATTACCATCTCCATTCTTGCACTGTGACAACAACTGCAGGAGCTGCCGCTGCACAGCCATGTTCAGTGGTGACCCTGCTGACCCCCCTGCTTTTGGGATCGATCCATCCCTCTGGAGAACTGGTGGCATGCCCTGAGCAACAGGTGGTGTCCGGAGCACGTCTTTGCTCCCCTTTCCGGACTCCACTCGTGCTTGCACCACACCAACACCTCGGTTTCGTTCCTGAGCCATGCGAATGAGGCCATCCTGCCTGAGTGTGGGCGGTGTGCTGGTGGGCACTGTTCGCCCACCTGTGCCTGCATTCTGCTGGGGGATGAGCATAACCTTGTTATTTCCTAAGTTGACCACAGAGGCGCAAGCAAGATTCACTGGTGCGCTGTTGGACCTGATCGGGGGGCTGGTCCCAGCCTGCTGTCGTTGCTGCAGCTGCTGCTGCTGCTGCTGTTGTTGCTGCTGCTGCTGTTGTTGCTGCTGCTGCCGCTGCTGTTGTTGCTGCTGCAAGGCTGCTGCGTTTGAAAACAGGGACGATGCTGGGAGCACCACCATCTGTTCTCCGCGACCCCCCTGTAGCCGGATCATCACTTGCTGCTGCTTTCCAGGTGTTCCACCATGTTGCTGCTGCGGAACAGCTGGAGTTGCTCTTTCAAGGGCTTCACGTATGCCTTGCAGTGTCAGCTGAGGTGCTGCAGTCTGCTGTTGGTGGCCTCCACTGATGTGTGCAGGGGCCTGCACCAAAAGTCCTCCTTCTCTCTTTCTGCTTTGGGCGGTTCCTGGTGCGTTGACTGTTGGTCCCTTCCTCTGAAGCTGGGGCTGCTGTCCTGGCCCGGGCAGCAGACCATGCCTGGAAATGTGCAGAGCTCAAGGTCAGAAACGTAGTTGAGGTGGGCATACACTGAAACATATGCACCAGGCAATACAGCACTGAACACAAGCACTGCAACAAAGCAGCCCAACTGACACCCCATGAAGGGTGTAGCAAAGCTGTGACTAAGCTAGAAGTTATTCAGATCCAAGTCCTATCAATAAATCAGCCAGCAGAAGAGCAATGCAAGGGGGATTATGCCAGTGTCGCTGGCTACCACCAAAGGACAAAGCTCCTACGACAATGATGTTGCAAGTATGGCAACATATCAAGGCTGACCTTTGCAACAACTGGGCGGCATCAATGCCTTCAGCGGGAAGCATAAAGACTTGCTCCCCTGGCAAGACACACAAGGAAAATTCTCTCAGCAGCCGTGGCAAACCCACAAAATAATGTACTTCACTGCAGTTGCGACAATACTGCGCGCACCAGCAAGGTGCAGAGAAACACAAAGGTAATATTCATCATAATGTTCTGATCGATGCTGGGGAATGTCACCAGTGGTGCTAAATCACAATCACCTAACTATCATTACCGAATACCCTCTCGGCTCAATCGTTTGTTCAAGATAGCTCAACTGGAGTGCAGGGATGCTACCCAAGTGAACTGAACCACAGAATTGGAAACCCCCTTGCCAACAAGAAACAGCAATTGGATGCCCTGCCCCCAAGCCAACCGTACAACCTCACCTTTTTGCCCCAGGACATATTTTCCATTGGTTCGGCTGCCAGAGCCAGGCACGGTCAGTCTTGAGGGAACCCTTTGCCCACTAGCATTTTGGTAGGATGACATTGTGGCAGCCTTTGTCAGCACAGGCTGTTGTGCGTGAGGGTGCCGGACAGCTTGGCCTCCGTTCTTCATCATCTTTGAGATACTACCACTCCCATCACTCACACGGCTGCCTTTGAGTTGGGAAACTTGGCGCAGGATCTGAGGGGATGCGTTATCGAACGGCGTTGTGGGGGGTGGCGCCCTCTCTGGGGCCACCCGGTCCTCATCAATGTGTGAGGAGATTGTGGACTGCCGGAGCAGAGGCTTTTTCTGTGTGCTTGCAGCACTGGCTGAAGTGGGATTTGAACAGCTTGGCAAGTCAGCATCCTGCAGAGGAAGAGGCGCTTACTCTAAGCATGTATAATAAACAGTGCAGTGCGCAACAGAAGGTCTAACAGCAACTGCAGAAAAGACAAGTTGAGGTACATTTGGTGATTGTTGTGTCCACAGTTCAACAGCAGCCAAGGCATCTGTTGTTGTGGGTCCTAATATCAGCTCTCATCAGATCCGACTGAAACAACACCAGCGACAAAATACCAGCACTAGGCAGCAAAATACTCCAGGTATCTGGTCAAACATGCACAAAATCGATTGCAGCTCCATTGACATCGGTACAAACCAAAACATTCAAGGTGTGCTTGAATGCCCCTGCAAGTATGCCAGCAACATAACCATTAACTGCACACCTTGGTGGCGCTTCCTTTTTCAGGCTGTGACTCTCGGCATTCCATGAACCTCATTTTCTCGTGCTGCAAGACCTCTTCCAATGTCCGCACAAACTGTCCAGTTTCATCATTCAAATACCCCTTTACTTTACTGGCGTCCTTTGGGTTGAACAGCTTCTCCCAGCCTGCTGGCACTTCTTCAGCTGTGGCAGTCTCAGTATTGGCTGTCGACCTCATCCCTGGCATCCACAAGAGCAAGTCACTCATCAGTGTCTGCAAACCCTGTCCCCAAATGCAAGTAGTACACTACTTGAGCAAGGTACAACACAAGTCTCTAAAAGTCTAAAGCCTGCATCTGCCACACTTTGCTTGTGTGCAAAATGGCAAAGCTTTGTAAGTTTCTGAAAATCCTATAGGAGGAACTTCATCATTGCTTCAAGCACCAGCATATGTCACAGCACTACACCATGCTTGATCCGTGTCAATGCAGAACTGACAGCCGCAACGCTTTTTGCAGAGACAAGCCATGTAGGCTGAAGCTCCAACCTGGACATGAGAACTGCCAGCCTTTGCGACACACTCCCAAAAGTTGTGCACAGTCGTTCCTGGCTCAATATCACAACCACTATGCACAATACCCCAGTCCATGCACAGGCATGATCCCATTTCAAACTCAAAACAAGGGCAAGCTCAAAAATCCCAAGGCCACGCCACAAAGTATCTGCCCACCTCTGCTCTCTAACACCGCAGGGCTGCCCTCACGCCCATTCCTGCAGTCCTGTCCATTCGCCTGGTGCATCGTCTGAAGCAGCTCGCCTGCCACCTCTTCTGAATGCTGACCAGCGCGGTGCTCCCGGGGCCCAAATTTTGCAAGAATGTCACTGACATAGTCGGCCTGTGCGGCAGGATCCTTGGTCTGGGCCTGCAATGCAACTTCCAGGGCCTGCAACAGCTCCTCTGGCCACCTGTGTGGTTCACTGTTGAGGGCAGAGATTGCCGACCTCACTGCCTTGTGGATGCGTGTCTCAGAGAGCGAAGGCTTGCGCAGGGCGACGTGGAGGTGGTCGTACCTGTGTCACAGCATCGACCGAAACTGAGCACCTCAATCACACTCCAAAGGAATTCCAATTCTCAAACCCCATTAACCTGGCTGGGGTCCCATCGTCATCCCAACTGGTTTGACGAATTTGGAAGCAACGTGGCAGCACGCCCCATTTGGTGGCCATTAATTACAAACAGTGGGTCACCTCACAACATCAGTCATAAACCTCATCGTGTTTCGACATCTCAAGCCTGCCTTTGAATGGGAAGGCAGCACCGTTGCAGGTCAGGGGGTGTGTCTGGCTCGGTTTTCTGTTCGGAGCGCCGATGCGCAGGGTACGCTCCTCACCATGTCTTCTCCACGCTCGCCACCGTCAGTTCGGACGCCGACTGGTTGTCCGATCCCGTGACGCCGTCGTAGTGCGGCGTGTGCTGCGACCTCGACGACGTGCCCATGGGACACGGGCTGTTCCCGCCGCCGACCAGCGGGGGTATGTCCGTGGCGCCCATCAGCATCAACAGCGTCTGCGCCTTGGCCGTGTCGTCCAGCAGCTTGAGCGCGGCCTTGCGGTTCGTGTAGAACAGGTCGCGCGCCTTCCTCAGCTCCGGCGCCACCTTGCGGCACTGCGCCTCGGGGTCGTTCTTGGCTGCCGCGATGCTGAAGTCCAATATCTGCTTGATGGCCTGGGTGTCCTCCTGGTCCACCTGCTCCAACCGCCCGATGATCTCGTGCCACTTCAGTCCCTTGAACTGGCCTGCGCCCGCCACGTTTCCGCACGCTCCCGATCAGTCCAACAACCCGCGCACAGAACGCCACATGGAAACACATGGGCGCCCATCGCATCCAACGCTTCGGCAAACTGCTCCTGAACATCCACGACGACTCCTGTGCCCGCCGACGACAATACCCATGGATTGCATCCTGCAGTGCATCCCTCCCCGGAATCCCTCAACCCACCTCCGCCCCCCGTGCGCAGTCGCTTGTGCGACCACCGGACCACGTCCGCGTCCTCAACGCCGACAGCCTCCACCTCATCCTCCCGCTCCGGCCGCTTCCTGCCGCTGGCGCAGTCCGCCCTCCCCTTCGTGGCCGCCCCGTCGACAGCATCCACCGCCCACGGCGCCCCCTCGGTGGGCGGCGTGCCGTCGATCCCGCCCTGCGCCCTGGAGCGCAACGGGGGCGCGGACATGGGCGACCGCCGCCCTGTGTCGCGCCAAGCACCGCGTTCAGTGCCAGCGACGCCGCGGCGGTGGGACACAACGAGTGACCCCGAAGTGAGGACGGTACCACACATCGAAGCTGCGCTGTGCTGACGTCGAACTGAAGACCGGGGCAAGACTGCGTCAGAACAGCCGTCAGGTCGGCGGACAGGGGAAAACGGCCGTGAAAACGGCCGTGCGGGCGGGGCGGGGCGCGGAGCAAGCCCGGGTCACTCACGTTCCGTCCTGGGCGCCTTGCACCTGCCCATCCAGCCGGCGTCGCGCCTCCGCCGCGACGCCTGATGCCGCCTGGCCCCGGGGTCGCCGTCGCTGGTGAGGGCGCGGGGGCCGCTCAGCTTGCGGGCCAGCATGGCCGACCGGCAGGGTATCCTCGCCAGCGACGGCAGGCCCATGCCAACCGAACCCCGCCGCACCACCCTCCGCACGGGAGTGGCACCTGCAGCGAAAAATCAACCAGGCCCGCGGCCGACTCAGCCACGCGCAGCCCATCCGCAGCCGCACCGAGTTCGCGTCCCACCAGCTCGCGCCACCGCGCCCAAGCCTCAAGAGCCCAAACGCATCCCGCCATACCAACCCCCAGCGCGCCGGCAAGGAAAACAAGAAAATGAGGAAACCTCCGCTCACCCACGCCCGCCTCCTGCTTGTCCCTATCTGCCGCCTCCACGCCATCCGCCCCGCCTGCCGCCGGCGCGGCCGCCTCCCCCCCGCCCTCCCCCGCCTCCACGGCGTTCGCATCTGCCGCCTGCGCCTCCGCGGCGGGCCGGGGCGCCTCCCCCGCCATCTGCCCGCCGGCTCCGATCTCGCCTGCCGGCCTCATGCCCTTGTTCGGGTCTAGGTCGATCACGTCCCCCTCGTCGACGGCGGACGCCGGGCGCTCGTCCGTGGGCACCGGCACGGCACCGCCCATCCCCAGGTCGAACGTCGGCTCCTCAGTCAGCTCGCATTCATCCCCTCCGCTATCCGCCCTCTCCCCGTCCCCCCCATCCACCTGCTCCTCGCCGCCTCGCGCCTCCTTATCATCTGACGCCATTCCTTGCGACCCGCCTGCCTCGGCCTACAACCCCGACGGCACCATGGCAAGGGGTTCAGCCGGGGGTGCAGCGGTGCGCAGGAGCTTCCAGAAGCGCTACCCGCAGCAGCCCGCAAACAGCCACAGGGGGGTCTCACAGGGGCGAAAATGGGACAAATTGTCAGGGCGCCCATCTTGGGGCCCAGGCCCTGCGGTGAGAGGGCCACTGCCGCGGCTGCCCGACGGGGCTTCTCCCCGCGCCGCGCGTCAGGGGGTCCGATTTTCTGGGAGGGCCCAGCCCAACCGGGCTGCTCTCAAGCGACGGGTTGGGCCGGCCGTCGTATCCACTGCGGCCGGCGGGGGTTTCCAGGCATCAGTCGCGCGCAGCGACGGCAGAGCGCGGAGGTGGCGAAAACACAGCCACAATCGGCCCGGGCGCCGCTCGGCGCGCCCGCCAATCCTCCCACCCCAGCCGCGGCCTGCGCGGAGGCCCCGACGTGCGTTCCAGGGGGGGATGCCGCGGACGGGGGGCGAACCCGATCCGCGGCGCACTCCGGTGGACAGCGGACGCCGGCCCCGGTCAAGACAAGCGGGGTTTGGGGTTTGGGGTCGCCGTGTGCGGTAAGAGGGCGACCGTCCCACCGAGCCCAGGCCGCAAACCCGAGGGCAGGGCCGCCCGGAGGGCCACCTGGGAGCTGGAGGGACGGCCCCGTGGCAGTCCGCGCCGCCGCGCCAATCCCCGCCGGATGCACGCCCCCAAGGGGGCCGAGACCCCACCGGCCCGGCCGCGACGGGTCGTACCAGTCGCATGTGTTCCGCCTCAGTCCAAGATCGCCAACTCTTCGCCGCGAGGCCCCAAGGCCGTGCGCAGCCCGCTGGAGTGCGGCGCAGCCGAGCGCTGGGCGCAGTGCCGTGCGGCGAGCACCGGTGAACGGCCCGAGGCCGAGCCGAAGCCGTGCGCGGGCGCCTGGGCCGCAGCCCGGAGGAGGCTTGGCCGAGATTGGTCGCACTGGCCGCCCTGGCGCGTGGTGGTCCCGGCATCACCCAGACGGCACTTGATAACGGGGCACGGTATAGTACAGTTTCCGTCGGGTAGTCAGCCCCGTCCGCGCGATCCTGTCGGCCTGCAGGGCGGTCGATGTATGAGATGTGCGGGGGGTGGGTTCATGGGGGCGCTGCAGGCGGCGCGGGGGCCCAGCAGGGGAGGTGTAACCGCTCTGTCAACTGGCTCAATCACGGAAAAGGGGCCGCGGTCCCTCACCCGATGCGCTGATGCGCTGCTGATGGCGCTCAAACCCAAAGTCAGCGGGCAGGTTGAGTCCCGGGGAGGTGGCGCGGTGCGCCCCCGTGTCGGGCGCTGGCCGCCGGCTGGCTGCTGTCTGGCTGCGCGGCCGCCGACCAAGCGGCTGGGTCGGACCCAGGCAACGCCGCCGCCGTACAACACGCCAAACCCCGCATAATGCAAATGCTGAGCTGTCTCTGTCCCGGCGGTTCATGGCCCCGGAGCGGATCACACCCGACGACTGGTGCGCCGTGGGATCGCAGCAGGGCAAATGCGGAGCAGGGATTAGTGAAGCCTCGAGCGTTCGAGCCCAGGTTGTGCTGCCTCGCCTTTTCTGTGTTGGAATTCCGTGGGGAGATCTGGGCGGGGCGGCACGACAGTGTTGCTGAATCTGCTGGCCACCCCGCGCCACGTGGCCATGCGAACCGTAACGATCGCGGTGATATGGTCGGTCTGCGGCGAGGTCGCCACTCGTGCAGAGGCTTCGCGCCGATCACTCGCGACGCCAATGCACGGCGACACCAGCATCATCGTGCAATGTCGGCCCCTGCCGCACGCATCGTGCCGCTCTCCACGACGACATGCGGGCACCACACTGGGCATGAGGGTCACGTACCATCAAGAGCGGGCGCTCTTATCCCGTGCGCGGGCGGGGTGCTGTCGGCCTTTGGGCGGCTCAATTGCGCAATGAGCCTTTGGGCTGCGGCGCCCCCGTGGGTACGGGAGGCATTCACGACGGCCACGCGCGGGGAAGACAGGTCTGTCACTCACGATCCGAACCCATCATTACAAACGAAGCGAGTGGTATTTATAGTGCGATGGTGCGACAGTTCATGAGTTGTTGTCTCCAGAATAACCACTCTGGCCACTTTCACGAGTTGGCTAAGTTTGTGTCCATTTCTTATGCCAAGTTTCTATTCCCGCCGCGCAGACCAACTATGATCCATTGCCAACTAGCCCAGCAGCTACCCGCGTACACTACCCACTCCCACTCTCCCTCACTCCCACACTTCCTCAGCTCCTATTCCCGCTGCCATGCCCAACTATGATCCAATCCCAAAGCCGTCCCCGTTCATTCACTACAGCCAATTCCCCTTAACTGGCTCCCCTATCATACATACAACCCCACTCCCCACAGTGCCATTCAGGCAAACGGATAGAGCAGTGTCCCGTGCGCGGGCAGGGTGCCATTCAGGCAAACGGATAGAGCGGGATCCACGATGCCAAGTTCTGCTCGATGTTGGTCATGGGCTGGGTGGGGCCTGCAACATGGTGGCAGAGGAGGTGGGTAATTTGGTTGGCTGGATGGTGCGATGGAGACTAGTCTAGGGAAGAAGAAAGCCCACCAAGGCGCCTAATTTTCAACACAAGTTTTGGCTGACTTTGAGACACCACACTCAAACGGACCCTGTTAAATGCAGGCTATAGAACAGAAGGTCCAAATGGCAAAAGAAAGAAGCTGCCAGAAACACATTTGGCTACTACTCAGAGTACCTTGCGCAATAAAAACCCCAATCACATCTTCCTAATGCAAATATAGTCAACACTCCACAAATCTTGAGCAATGGCGGCAGATGGCGCCAAGACCTGAGTACCTACCTTTACGAAGTTGTCTCCCAAGATATCTGGGCAAATGCTTGTCCCCCCCGTTTCCCCAAGAAGATCTATTGGCAACCCCTCTCGCTTTCTGATATGAAAAAGGGTTGTGCTTGGAGGTGATGATGCACCACCCCACGATGCACCCAAGGGGGTATGCCACTGTGGGGCAGCACATTAGCTGGTTTCGTAGCGGGCCTCTTACTAGGCCCCTCTTTGTCCGATCCCACCTGAAGGAAGCTGATGAAAGCGGTGAGAGGTGGCCAATAGATGCCAGTGAAAAGGCATCACCGTCAAAGGAGCATTGTGGCATGGTAGCCTATTATTTGCAATGGCCCACATTTTGGTCAGCTGGTGTTGCGCGGCAGCGCGCAACAGGGGGTGAGAGAAGCCTGCCAGTACGGGCGCTCGAAGGCCATTAAGCCGACTCAAGATCGACCCTGGCACACGCACTTGGGCCACACCAGCGCCGGTACTGTTCCGTATAAACCCCAATTCCTACACTAAATCAGAAGCCCCTTGGGGTCGGGTTACCGGTCGCCGGTCCTCGATATCGCCATGGGTAATATCACTTAGTCGCCACCCGCATTTCCATTGGTTGTCCGAGGAAGACGGGACTGGGCAATCTGATGCGAGAAGCGGGAGGTACAGTGAACGGGGGGGGAGGTGGCGCCAGGAGCCCGCCGAAGGGATGGGGGGCGAAGAGAGTGCGGGGGCGACGAACAGCCGAGATAGCACGGGAAGGAGCCGCGAAGGAAACAGCGTGGTGCGCAAAGGTGAAATGACATTTTGCACCAGTGATGTGCCGAACCCAAAGGAGGTGGGTAATAAGGATGCGTCGGACAAGGCTGGGCGTAGTGGCCTGGGAGCTCACGGTATAGAGGGACTCCGAATAGAGGCAACCACGGGGAACCCAGAAGAAGGTGTAGGCGGTTCCCGGGAAGGCCCGGGACAAGAGAGGCACACACACATAGGGGAGTACAGTCGAGACTGCACCCCCCCAAGATGGGCAAGAGGCGTAACAAGGAGTGAGGAACAAGGGAGGGGGTGGCATGTCCAGCACATCCCCACTCCGAGAATCC